CAAGACTTTGTGTTCACTGGAAGCAGGCGCCACAAATATCAGAATATCAGCTCCTCTGTGTGCTGTGCTGTTAGAGGTCACAGGATCGGACCTTTGATCCAAGACCTGGTTACAGCATCCAGCATCCCCCCATCAGGTTATTGATCTGAAATAACGATCTGGATTCTTTAAACTTACTTTGTGCTTTTCAACGTGACACTGATGATATCGTCTTCATATTTATCACAAGTGTGAATCTTTTCTCAGATACAACTGTTTGTTCCGTGAATACAGAAAGTGTTTTCTTACTTTGTGCTGAGAAGCGGCTGCAGCGACCAAGCTGTGGTCATCATTGGTTGGTTTGGTGTATTTGGCATGAGAGTCAGGAGGAGATCTGCTGTGTCTGCCCTCTGCTCTGATATTCTCATACACTGTGTTGGTCTACAGGAGAAGAAGAGGAAATCTAATATCAGCTGGTTTCACAAACATCGGTGCTGAGTCTACAAGTCCTTCAGCCTCACCTCTGTGACAGCAGCGTGTTCAGTTCCCACAGGAGGATCTGAAAAACACATCAGTACAGTGTTTATACTGCAGTTAGGTACTCAGTCCGTCACACAGAGAGACAGAAAACCACTCATGCCCACATTCATGCTCACAGGAATGATCAGAGACTGTAATTCAACCGAATATTCAAACTCCATCCATCAGTTTGTCCAATTCAGGTTTGCGGGCCCAGACTGTATCCCTGCTACCACAGGGTGGAGGCGTGGTGCCCCTTGCACAGGTCGTCAGCCTGTTGGAGGGATAACTTGCAAACTCTGCACAGGAAGGCCAGATGGAGGATTCAAACACAGCTTACAACATGATGTGACTGATGTTCCCCTGGTCCCAGCTCCTATATTTGTACCTCTTTTAACAGTAATACACAAAACTCTGGACTCGGACCTCTCTCTCCCACAGTCAACACAATACCCGTCATAATCACAAACAGAGAGCAACAGAATCATCATAAATCCAGCAGCTCCAAAAACATTAATAACCTCCGGCCTCTTCAAAAATATCAACATCCATCCAACTCTATTGTCAAAAATCCACCAGTCTCGATCAGTATGGCACTTTTAACATTTGGCTCTTACAAGGTGTACTTCCATGGT